GTCAGAAGAACACCAAATGATAACAAACATTTTGGAAAACAGTTTAGCAATTCTTATAAAGTTAAATATACAATTACCTTACAACCCATCCATTTCATACCCAAGAGAAATTAAAACATATATCCATGCAAAGACTTGTACGTGAATAATCATAGTAGCTTTATTCATAATAGCGTCAAACTTGAAATGTCTATCAACAGTTGAATGGATAAACAAATTGTAGTATATCTAAACAATGGAATACTACTCAGAAATAAACTGGAAGTACTGACAGACACACGAAACAACATGGATGATCTCAAAGACATTATGCTGAATGAAAGAAATCAGACACAAAGAGGTACCTACTGTATGGTTCCAATTATACGAATTCTAGAATAGGCAGAATCAATTTATAGTGACAGTAAGCAGATCATTGATTGCCAGGCAGGTAGGGGACTGACTGCAAAAGGGTACAAGGGAACCTCCTGGGTCAGAAGGGATGGGGCAGGGGTACAAGGGGTACACATTTGTCATAAGTCATCACTTGAAACACTTGAAAAAGGTGTATTTTATTACTTGTAAATTAAATCTCAATAAAGTTGATTTTAAAGACTGGAACAAAAGATCTGAACAGATACTTCATAAAAGAGGATATCCAAATGACCAACAAACTTCTGAACAGGTTTTCAACCTTATTAGTAATCAAAGGACTGCAAATTAAAATAATAATGCAACATCACTACATACCCACCTGAATGATTAAAATAATGAAGATTGATAATACCAAGTATTGGTGGGAATATGGAATAACTGGTTGGAGTGTAAACTCGTTTAATTATTTTGCAAAGCAGGTTTGGCATTATCTACTAAAGTTGGCTTTATAATGTGACTTATGAATGAAAGCTGCTTAGTCTGTAGCAGACATTTCTGGTACTTGCTGTCACATTCCCTTAGCCCACCTGTGATTTCAGCCGCAATTGTGGTGGACAGTTCCAACTCCCCTCATACTGCTAGAGTGTCGCCTCAAGTGTACACCTCACATCTTTCCTTATTCTGCCTCAGGAACTTCTCTGACATCTGTAGTCACTCATTAGACTTGCAAGCAAAACCACAATGTCCAGGGCAGTCAACAGCCCTGGGGACAACCCTCACCCAATGAGAGAGGGAAGCCAGTAGATAAAAGCTCTCATCTTTCAGGTCCTCTATTCTGGGAGGCATTCTGTATGCTTCTCCGAAGTTCTGACAGAAGTGAGACCCTCCACAACACATGCTACACTGGCTTTCCCTTTCCCCTGTCTCATTCCTGTTTCTTAGGATCAACTCCTAAATAAACGACCTGCCCAAGTATTTATCTCAGGCTCTGATTTTCGGGAAACCTAAAGTTAGGTAGTTGGTACCAGGAGTGATCCCAGAGTAAAGACCTTCAGGATGGGATTCTGGACTGAATCATTCACTCATCATAGGACAACAAGGACTCTGTTGTTGGCAGTAAGTTGAGCGGTGATAGCTCCTGACATGCTGTGCTGTCACAAGAACCAAGCCCTTGACCTGCGGTAGACTGGAAGCACGAGGGGAAGGAACACATTAGATTACGCAGCAGCTCTAGCACAGGGATTCTCAACCTTGTTTTTCTTTTTTTAATTTTAAAGACTGCCCTCCTAAGGAGAAAAATTAAATTAAACTTAAAGTGCCCCAGGTGGGGGGTGGTCAAAAGAGGTGAAGGTGGTCAAAAGGTATGAACTTCCAGTTATAAGATAAATAAGATCCTGGGGATATAATGTACAGCATGGTGACTACAGTAAACAAAATTATTTGGTATATTTGAAAATTGCTGAGAGTAGATCTTAAAAGTTCTCATCATAAGAAAAAAATTTGTAACTATATGTGGTGATGGATATTAAGAAGACTTAAGGTGGTAATTATTTCACAGTATATACATGTATCAAATCATTATGTTGTACACCTAAAACTAATACAATGTTGTATGTAAATTATATCTCAATAAAAAAAAATAAAGCATCCTTGGCCAGAGAAATTAAATACTAAGGAATAAGATTTAATCAAATAGAGTTGAGCTTTGGAGGCTACAAAGCTCCATTGTAATATCTAATATTTTTTGTCCACCAAAGGACAAGTTTTCACTTCCTTGGGGGAGATATTGCCCCCATTGAGAATGCATGCTCCAGCACTTGAATGGTATGGGGGCAATGTTAATTATAATTTTGTGGAATTGGCTTGATTTTGTTAACTATCTTAAAAGCCTTGAAGAAACAGAATTTCAGGCTCAGTTCATCCACCTATCAATTCAGGAACAGGTATGAAATCCAGAAGACCTCCATGGAGCATTATTTAAAAACTCTTTTCCTGCAGCTGGAGAGCAGACTCTGCGGAAAATCAGGCCCAGAATGTAATAGTCAGGGTGGCAGAGATCCTTTGACGGTTCTCACATGCTAAAGTCAGGGTTCTCATAGGTAAGGAGTTGGACGCTGAGGCCTGGGATGGAGATGCGTGCGTGGATGCCACTGAGCAGCTTGTACCTCTAGGAAGTAGCCCTCTCCCACTTGTTAGCATAGAGCAGTTGCTCTTGATCTGAGACTGTATTAGCTTCCGATTGCTGCTGTAACCAATTATCACAAATGTAGTGCCTTAAAACACACATCATTATTTTACGCTTCTGGGGTTCAGACGTCCGAGATGGGTGTCACTGGGTTAAAAGGTGTTAGTGGGGCTCTGTTGAATTCTGGAGGCTCCAAGGAAGGATCAGTCTTCTTGCCTTTTCTAGCTTTTGGAGTTGTTTTCATTCCTTAGCTGGTAGCTCTTTTCCTCTGTCCTCAAAGGCGGAGTGGAGAGCTTCTCACATTGAATCACATCTCACATCTGACCTTTTCTGTAGCCTAACTGACCTCTTCTTCACTCTTCTGCCTCCCTTTTCCACTTTTAAGAATTCTTGTGATTACACTGAATCCATCTAGATAATACAGAATAACCACCTCATCTCTAGATCCTTAATTTAATTATGCCTCGGAAGTCCCTTTTGTCATGGAGGGTGACATATTCACAGGTTCTGGGGATTGGGATGTGAACATTTTTAGGGAGCCGTTACTCTGCCCACCACAGAGATCATGTAAAAACAGTTCAGCTTAGAATAATTTGCTGGATTACGATCTTGGGTTAAGTTATTTAACCCTCTGTGCCTCAATTTCCTCATCCATAAAATGGGGGGGGATAACAGTAGTCTATCCCAAAGGGTTGTTAGAAGTGTAAAGGAGATAGTGCTTTAAACAGTATCTGGCATACAGTAAGTGCTATGTGAGCATCAATTAAATACATTTGTATAACATTTTGATTCTTACTATGTGTCAGGCACTGTTGTAGATACTGGGGATATGGATAGGAACATGGTTTGCTCTCGAGGGGCTCAGGGAATCAAATACCCAAATACTGTTACTACACAGTGTGTTACGTGCCATAAAAGGCAGGGAAGTACTACAGGATTACAGCAGGGCGAGGCTTAGAGAAATTTAAGAAATATTAGTCAAATAAATTAATGAACATGACGTTAGAGCTGGACTTTGTAGAATAAATAGGTGTTGACCAGTGAGATAAACAGAGGAGAGCTCAGAGACATGGAGAAACGTGTGTTCAAAGAACATTAAGTAGCATTTCAGTGTGGCTGGAGCAAAAGGCACACAGGGTGAGACCAAGCTAGAAAGGCTGCTGTAAGCACTGAGGCGGCACAGTGCCAAGTTAAGGAGTTTGGACTTTATCCTAAAAGCAACAAAAGCCTTTCAGAGTGTTTAAACAGTATTTAAATCTGATCATCAGATTTGTGGTTTTAAAAGGCTACTCAGGTCACTAGTAAGAATGGATTGAATTTGGCCACTGAAAGCTGCCCCAGTTGTCCAGGTGGTCTTGAGGGAACTGAAGGGCAAAGACTTGAGAAATATTTAGGAGGCTCTACAGGACTTGCTGACCAATTTGATAAGAGCATTGAGAGAGAAAGAATGGGGCTACGTCCAGATTTCTGGCTGAGGGGACTCCTGGATAGTGGTCCATTCACTGAGGCCAGGAAGTAACACGACTCGCAAGTATGGGGGAAAATGGTGATAGGAATAAGCCAACACTCCAAAGGGCTTAATAACTAAATTGTAGTTACTATTATCTTGGAAAAACTGAGGCTTGGAAAGATCAAATTAAGGATACCCGGGTACTACTTATTATGGAGAAATTGTGGCTTGGAATGTTAAGATCCTATTACTAACGTTTCCATGCTGGGACCTGAAGCAAGCCTATCTGATTCCCTCAGCCACTAACGGCGTCTGTTCTGGACTTGTGGAATCTGAAGTACCGCAGAGTATGCAAGCGATGCTGTCCAGGTGGCATTGGGAAATACAGAATCTGGGCTCAGGGGAAAGGTTTGGGTTGAACGTACCCTCAGTGGTAGGAGAAAAACAGGGAAGGGAGCCCATCTATTTCCGTTCAAGACAGTTCAAACCTCCATTATCATTTCTTTGTCTCCCCGCCCCTCGCCCCACAAAGAAAACAAATAGTGTAATAAATGTGTGGCTCTGAGGTCATAGCAGATGAGGCAGTCTTCAAATTCAGCTCTTGGCAAAGAGCTAGCGGATTCGCAGTGCTCTGTAACGTGAAGAGGACCACAAGACCAGGGGGTTAGCCGTCCTCCTCGACCACTAATGCCCCCAGATGTCGCCCCCGAACCCTCCCGGAGACAGACCGTGTCAAACAGGCCTAGAGCGGTAGGGAGCGCGGGGTGAGGGGAGAGACGCGGTAGCCATGACGTCACGCGGTAGCCGGGTGATCCCCCAGCCTCTGGCGTCACGCGCCGATGACGTCATTCAGGGCGCTCCCCTCCCCCTAGCCGGGGTTGGCCCCGCTCACGTGGGTCTGCCCGGCCCTCCCCGCCCCCTCCCACCTGCGGGAGGCGGGCCGGGCTCGGCGGGCGCCGTGGCCTCGCGGGGGAGGGGCGGGGGCCCGAGGAGGAGGTCGGGTCGGGCCCGCGCGTACAATAGCTCGGCTGCAGCTGGAGCCCGAGGTGCTGGCGGCGCAGCAGACGCCCCGCACGGCTGCCCCCGCACGCCCCCTCCCTGTCTTGCTCCACAGACGCTTCCCGTCGGACTCTTGTTCCCTCGTCACGGAGCCCCGCGCGCTCAAAGCCCCTCAAAGAACTCTCTGTCTCCCCACCGCCTCCCCTAGAGGCCGCCCGAGCCCCCTCGCGTCCCCGCCCCCGCGGCACCCCCTCGGCCGCGTCGCCAGCTCCCCCGGCCCCTCTCTCGGTCGCCGATCCCCGTGTCCTGAGGGGACGCCCCGGCTCGAGCGGGGTGGGGGAGGCGGCGGCGGCGGCGGGAGGGAGAACGTGAAGCGGCCCCTCGCGCGCTCCCTCCCCGGCTCGGCCGCCGCCACCGGGTGGAGGAGGAGGAGGAGGAGCCGAGGAGAGGAGAGCCCAGCGAGCGCGGAAGGTGAGAGCCGGCCTCCCGCCCGGGACTCCCAGCGGCGCGAGCGCGGGGTGAGGGGCCGGGGGCTGGCCGCTCTGTCCGACCGACAAAGGCCCCCAGTGCACCCCCGGCGCGGCCGCCCGGCTCCGACGCTGGGGACCGCGGGCACCCTGCGCGGGCGGGGGAGGGGCGGGGAGCGACGCCCTCCCGGACTTGGCGGCCCCCAGGCGCTCGCCCCTGGCCGCGGCGTCCGAGTGCGTGCGCGTGGAACGCCCCCCGGGGCGGGCCGGGGCTCCCCGGGAATCCACTCCTGGGAAGTCGCGCCTCGAGAGTGCTTGAGTTCTGCAGCCCTCCCCCATCCCCGGGCAGCTCCGCGAGTCGTGGCGTTAAGCAGGGGAAGGAGAATTAGGCTGTTTGATGTTCATTATTCCATTTCAGAAGGCATTGTTATAGCCTTTACTGTCTTCAGTGTTTTAACAGCAAAAAAAATGCTGGGAGTGTTTTGGAAGAATACTTGAGAAGTTCTGGGTGTTTGTGGGTGCTGGGAGCAAAGTGCTTGTTGATGTTACACCCCTTGGATAACTGTCTTGTTTTCCTCCCCAGGACTGTGAAAGGTGAAGGGAAGTGGGGTTAGTGCTATGGTTACCAATAAAAATTCTATTTCATTAGTCTAGCCTTTAAGAATTGTTCCTGAAAAGTCTTTGATTTTTCCTACTGTGTCTTTGGGCTCTCTTACAACTTTGTCGGGAGCAAACAGCGAACAGTACACAGTGCACAGACGCCTCGTTGCTCCTACCTGGTCACTTCATCTACTTCCTGTATGACCTTGAGCAGGTCACTTCCAGCCTTAAAGTTCCAGGAGTTTGCATTTATGCCCTAGAAACAGGTATCAAGCAGCTACTCAGCTTTCCAGGCTCCACTGAAGAACGCCCCGCCCCCCCTCCCCACCGTGAACTCTTTGCTGGCAGCCGCCAAACTCCTCTCCGGCAAAACTGACTTCTTATTGGGGCCCTCAGAGGCCTGGGACGGTTTCTACTACAGCACTTACAATGTTTATTTGTTCCTATTTGGGAAATCCTAAACCAGGTGCACGTGAAATCCACTTCACCTCAACTAGAAACTCTACTTCTCCAAAAGGGCTTTGGGAACGTAAACCCTGAACCATTCCCTGAAGCTTATCTGTAACCTTACCTATAGGGGCTGGTGGGTCTGTCTGGTTAATTTGCTTATTCGGTAGTTCATTGACCCAGCATTACTGGAGTTTGCAGAGCTAGTGTGTTGCAGGTCTCCTGCTAGGACTGTGGGGGCTATTAAGACATTCCCTGTCTTCAAAGGGCTCAAAGTCTAGTGGGTGAGGTAGACAGGTAAACAGTGAAGGCCTGCCCTAATCTCTGGGGGCCTCCAGTTGTACAGGGAGTAGGATGCAATAATTGAGGCTGCTGGACCTGCTTTACAAGTCTTGTCCTGGCCAAAGTGAGTCCTGCAGGGAAGGTGGTGACCTGCCTCTCATTTATAGGACAAAAAGCTTGTTCAGTTCAATTCGATAACATTTACTAAGCACATGTTAGGAAGCCCTGTGCTAGGCTTGGAGGAAGCAGTGCTTTCTGAAAGGAGGCCACTATATATCTGGAGAGATCTTTGTAAGATCCAGAGAGACTGGCATCCAAAACCCGATCAGACTTTTTCTTCCCACCCCTGATGTTGCCTAAAGATAAGTTTTCAAACTCTCTAGCCTGAATAAGAAGCTCTTTAGAGATTAGACTACTGCTTCCCTTTGCATCTTCACTTTCTGTAACTCCCCTGCCCTCCTCTTTCTCATCTCTGCCTTTGCACTGCTGTCCTTTCTGCTCGGAATGCCGGCCTCCCGCCTGCTACCTGCCTGTGGATAAGTGCTTGTTGGACCTCTGGGAAGCAGTCCTGTAGTCTGTTCCCCGATTACCTCCATAGAATGAGGTGCTCTTCCGTCCTGTAGTTCATGTACATACCACTCTCAAAGCTCTCTGTGGTCCTCTATTGCAATTATTTGAGTTTGTGCCTGTCTTTTCATTAACCTGTGAATTTCTTGAGGGCAGGATCTGTGAAGTTTTAGTGCCTAGCAAAGTTCCTGGCACTGAATAAATGTTTGAAATGCATGAATGTGTGATTGAAGAAGCAAGTCAAGACGAGATAGAAGTTACCTAATCCTTTGGTTTAGAACAGTAGTTCCAAGTGTTGTGCCTGTACCAGCAGTATCAACATAATCTGGGAATTTGTTAGAATTGCAAATTATTTGTCCCATCCCAGACCTACAAATGAAAAACTCTGGGGTTGGTGCCCCAAACCCTCTGCTTTAACAGGCGCTCCAGGTGATTCTGATACTTGCTAAAGTTTGAGAACCACTGTGTTAAAAGATCTACTTTTGATATGAACACCTTCTTGCCAGCTCCCTCCCTCCTTTTCTTCTCATTGCACTTACTGCTTGACATTCCATCCCATCCCATCCCACTCCACCCCACCCTACCCCACCCATCCGTCTTTTGCCACTAGAATGAAAGCTTCCTCAGAGCAGAGAATTTTGTCTGATTTGTTCACAACTTTAATTTCAGTGCCTAGAATAGTGGCTGCATATAGCAAGCACTCTGATATTTGTTGAATGAATAACATGTTCTTGTCTCATTTGCTGCTAGCTGCTACATTGGGGTTTTATTTAAGAATAGTTTTCAGAACGAAGAGGAACCACACTTCAATATGCAAATCCCAGTGGATTCTAACATTTTTGGGGATTTATTTTAGACTGAGGTCTTCTTCCCTTTTATGTCTGTCTTTCTCCACCAAAGTTGTTTTTTGCTCTTCTAGCCAAGACCTGAAAACTACTGTTGAAATATTCTAGGCCAAGATTGTTTCTTGGGAATTTGCAACTTGGTTTTGCAAGTCTAATAAGCACCCTAACTTTTGAGGCTTTTAACTTGAAAGTCTCTCTTCTGGATCTCCTATGGTTTTTTTTCTTTCTCTAGTGATACTTGAAGCCATACAAGTACCTGTTGGACTCCACGCAAGGGTTTCTCTTCCTTGTAGAGCTCTTGAAATATTTCATTTCTTCCACTTTCTTATCAACCTAAGATACCACATCCAGTTTTTTTCCTTTCTTAACTTCCCTTTGGGAGATTGGCTTCGTTTGTTCATCCGTTTATTTCTACTTATTCAGTCCTTCTTTACCATGTGCCAGGCCCCATCTGAGACAGGATGCTCCAGTATACAGAGGATGTGGTTGAAATCCGTAAGGAGTTAAAGATATTGCAGTATGGTGTAAAAAGTGCTGAAATGAAGGGATAAAATAGAGGGATTAAAAAAAAAGTGACAAAGATAGGAGAAAGCTTTCCTAATTTTTTTCCCCTCAATTTAGGAATAGTTTATCAAACAAGCATCATTTTGATAAGAAGATTTTTAAAAAATTTTGAGTAAGGGGCCCGCTCAGTGGCATAGCGGTTAAGTTCCTGTTGCTCTGCTTTCGCAGCCTGGGTTTTACCGGTTCGGATCCCTGGCGCGGACCTATGCACTGCTCATCAAGCCATGCTGTGGCAGGCATCCCACATGTAAAGTAGAGGAAGATGGGCATGAATGTTAGCTCAGGACCAGTCTTCCTCAATAAAAAGAGGAGGATTGGCAGTGGATATTAGCTCAGGGCTAGTCTTTCTCCAAAAGAAATTTTTTTTTTTGGTTAAGAGATCTGTGGCATTGTTGGGGAAAACTAAAACAAAAATCAAGGATTGGGAGTTGCTAATTTGAGACAGTTCTCAATTCTTTTGCTGCTGGTTTTAATGAATTTTGCTTTCCCCCTTTTGTATCTTTCTAACTCATAACCAGAAAGTAGGAAAAAGACTTTTTCTTTATAGTAAAGGGAGAAGTTTAAGGTTATCAAAAGAATATACTGTTTCATAGATGTCATTTTAATTCTTAAGGACTAAATTATAATTTAGGGTGGGGGGAATAATGAAACCTTGAAAAAGTCAAGACCTTAATTTAGTCTCTGTATTACTGTATGATTTTATGGAAGTAATTTTCTCTCTGTACTATTTGTCCCAACTGTTGTAAAATGGACATAATAACAGTTGCTGTGACTAGCTTACAGGGTTATGAAGCAACTAAATAAAATATTGAATATAAAGAAACCTTTGAAAAATATGATTTATTAGCTAGTTGTTAGGTAGTGGTAAACTTATGAACAGTAGGTTACATTATTGAACACCTGTTATGTACCAGACACTATGGAAATGTTTTCTCCAGTTTTCAGAATAAGCATGTAAAGTGATTGCTAGTATCTCTTTCATGGATAAGAAGGTTGAGGCTCAGACCGACGAAGGGAGCTTGTTCAAGGTTTTGCTGAAAGTAGGTGGCAGATCTTAATTCCAGTTCATAACCACCTGATACCAGCAGTGTTATTTTCTTGCCCAGGCTGCTTTAATTTTTTTGTATAGAGCATATAGGAATATTTTGCAAGTATATTGCTGTGAGAGTTAAAAATTTTCTTCATTTAGCCTGTTCTCTTTTTTGTGCATAGAAAGATTGGTGAAGACAGATTTACATGCGTTTACATTTATCATTCATTCAGGAAGAAGAATAACATCTTCCCCTGGTGTTTTTTGTTCAGTATTCACAACTGCCCTCTGAGATAGATATTTCCATTTTATGAGTTAGGAGACAGAGGATCATAGAAGTCTTGGTTTGCTCAAAGGCACATCATTAGCAGATGAAGATATTGGTTTAAAATGACATTTTTTGAATCTAAATGTAGTACTTTACTTTTGCCACTATATCATATGACCTTTTAAAGTCTGTCAAACTAAACCTCCTGGCACTGAGAAATGTCCTTTTAGTGCTTCCTCACCTCTTTAGCCTCTTCCCCCTAAGAAAATCCTGATTGAAGTCCACGGTTTGAACGAGAAAAAAATAATTGTTGATAAAACTCTATGTCAGATGGTCGTAAGATTGCAGACTTAGAAGATAATATTTCTCTACTGAAGCTGAGAGATCAGACTTTATCCAGT